CAAAAAAAGCTTTGGATGAGATGAGATGAGAGAAAGTTGAATGAAGTTTTCAAATGTTTTCCCCACAAGATTTTAAAATAATAATAATAATAATAATAATAACCAAGGAACCTAAGGCCATATTTGTGGTAGGTTGGAATTGTGAAGATGGAATGGAATTGAGATAGGATCTGAATATAAAGTGATGTTTGGTAGATATGAATTACAATTTTTGGGAATCCTAATTTTATGAAAAAAAAGCTAATTTGAATTCCTTATGTAAATCTATGGAATTGGGAGGAATTCTATAGAATTGTAATATTTAAGACACTTTTGCCTTCATACAAATTTCAAAAAGACAAATTTGCCCTCAAAAAAAAATAAAACCCTCATATGCTAGCAAAAAAAAAAAAGAAAAGGGAGTAGTATAAAAGAGTGAATGATATTTTTTCTCATTATATATAAAGCGTTATAATATATATATAAGATAGTATTATATATAATATTTGTATATAATTTATATATTTATAATATTTTTTGGTATAAAAAGTAGAATTGATTTGTTTGACATTTTTCTTCTAAATCTACATGTTAGTGTATTATTTTAAAGTAGAAGGGATGGGAACCATTGCCAATTTTATTTCAAGAAAATGTTTCCACTGATGATAAAACTTTTTGTTTGGCCCAAGCTAGTGATAATAGTTACAGATATAATCTATGATTTATATAATATTTCATTAATATATAAAATACATAAGAAAATTGGTACACAATTAAGTTTTTATTATGTTTTATTTTAATTTTATATAGGGATATTTTTGTCTTTTAAGTATAATTCCATTTCCATGTCTTGCATACCAAACAAAAGTAATGCAAGGATTCCATCTAATTTTCTGACATACCAAACATACTTTTATAATTCAATTCTATTCCAATTCTGATTCCAATTCTGATTCCAATTCCAATTTCAATTCCATCAAAACTATTTCCTCATACCAAACGGGGCCTAAATCATATTTTTATGAGAAAACTACACAAACCTCTCTTTAATCTCTTTAGTTTTACTGAATTATCTGCATTTCTTATCTGATTTGAGAGCATACAACTCCTTTTTTTTTTTAAATACCTGATTATATAACTCCTTCAAAAGCATTAAAAAAAATTGTATAGGTCTCTCCTGGGTTCTATTGAATTATACAATTCTTTTTTATTTGAAAAGCATATGGAAACATTAAAAAAACATTAACTGGTATTTTTTCTCTTAAATTATATATTTGCAAAAAAAAAATAGGTATCTTAGTTTGACGCAATACCACTTCTCTAATGTTAAAATTGCTGCAATTTTACTCCTTCACTAATGAAAATTTATATTGACTGTTAACTTTACATTGACTTTGGATGAAGAAACATTTTTATCCATAAAGTATTCATAGAGCAGTAACTGATTGACCACCATAAAGTAAAAAATGTGGAGTAATTTCATCTCTATTTTTTTTTTTGGGTTAGTAAAACATATCACATTCATGTTTAAGGTGTCACACACATATGACTTGCCAACTATGCATTCACTTGTTGGCAATATATAAACATATAAAATCGTTGATCACTCCCATAACTAGCTAGGATAGGAGGGTAAAATGATCACTTTATAAGTCACCTTTTAAAAAGGTAAAATAGTCCACTTCATAAGTTATTGAATTGATAATGATTTTTATTTTAAATAAAATGCCTAAACTACCCTTAAAAAGTAAAAAAAGAAAAATAAAAAAAATAATATTGTATAGTTTATTTACTTTTGAGGGTAGTGTTTGTAATTTTATAAAATTTTATTCTTTATATTTTTATTATATGATATTAATGAAATTGATAGAAATATTTATAAATAAAATCAGAGGGAGTATATAATATGTGACAATATCAACAATTTGAGTTAATATGAGCTAGCAAACCTTTTTCTTTTTTCTTTTTCTTTTTTTATAAATCATTTTTATTAATTTGTTAATATTAATAAAAAATAAAAATAAAAAAGTATAAAATTTTAAAATTATTTTTATATAATAAATTTAAAAAATGATATCATATTACCCTTTTTATAAAAATAATTTTAAAATATATTTTAAATATTATTTAAAAATTTAAATTATAATTTATAATAAAGCTAAATAAATTTTTTAAAATATGATTTACAAGTGAGACAAAAAAGAGTATATGATTAGGTCATATAGAAGAAGACCAACTCCATCCCGATCTTAAGTGTGAATTCTACGCGTCCAAATATGGCAAGCTTAAGTATGTCCAAACTTACGCGCGCATCCGCAACTTTTGTGTTTTTCTTTTGACATTTTTTGTTAGTAAACACTCTTTACGTTTTAAAATATAAAATATTTTTTTAAAAATTAATTATTTAAAAAATATAAATATTTTTAATTTTTTGTGGTATATAATTATTTTTTTAAATATTTTTATTGATAAATGATTTTCTATTTATTATAGAATATTTAATAAAAATAAATTTAAAAGATAAAGTTAGTTAAAAATATGTAATTATTTATTAAAAGGTGATATTTAATTTAAAAATATTTTATATTTTTAAATGAAGGGAGTACACTGTATAATTTTTGGTAAAAGGAAACAATGTAAAAAAATGAATTCAGAGTCTAGTTTACTAATAAATTTACCATTTAATTCTATATATTTAATTTGCGCACAAGTTTATTTTTAAAAAAAAAAGAGACTTATCTAGAAGTGATTTGAGTGGAGTGATTCATTCATTGAATGAGAAAGTAGAGTGAACATTTTAATATGTTTTGCTTGCCTCACCCATGATCTGCTGACGATAATCTTCTTTGATTTTTTTTCTTTTTTCGTTTTTCTTCCACAATTGCACTTCCTGGCATATGGCTACAGATGAAAGAGTACAGCCATAGGTGTAAAAGTTGACGAAGAATATATTAATTTTTTTTTAAATTTCATAATTCTTTATAAATTAGAAATAAATAAAAAATAATTATCCTAATAATAATGAATTATTTTTTATGAAAATTAATATATTATGATAAATTTAAACAAATATGTTAATTTTTGAGTAAAAATATTTTTTAGGATATATTTTGGTCAAAAGAATTCATGTGCATCTTGTTCATTATTATATAATAAATTACCGAATATAGAATAGTATTATCTTAAATAATGCAGAATCTTACCCAATGTCAACCCAATCATCCGATAAGAATTATCAGACATTATCCTACCAAGCTCCATAGTATCCGATCCTATACTGTCACCCTGATTCTGTATAGGGTTGTGTATATTTTAAATATTAAAAATTCTTCTTAATTTTAACAAAATTAAAGTAGTCTTTGTAGATTTATCTTTTTAAGGGACAGTTGCATAAATTTTGAAATACAAGCTTGTATAAATTTTAAAAATAAAATATTAATAGGAAGATAATTAATATAGGAGAATATTAGTTAGATCTTAGAACATTGAATTCATGACAATCAAGTTCACCACAATTTTGTTTTTTGGAAAGATAAGTTTAAAAATATCGATTAAGATAATTATAAATCTAAAAATTTCAATTATAAATAAATATTTAAATATTAAATATAATTATTAAATTGTAATAAAAATTTTGTTTATAATAATTTGAATTGATATTTATAATTTATTTTTTTTAAAAAAATTATTGAGAACCTAACTGTTATTAATTCAATCTTTTAAGGCTTAACTGTCATTCTCTTTAATTAATAAGGCATATTATTCTTGATGACCATTATTAGAAAACTATCACCCCAGGTCTCTCTTTGTTTTTAGTTTATGTAATTTATTTTTTATTATTTTTCATCATTTTATTTGATCTGTTTGTACGTTAGTCCTTTTGCCTCGTTTGGTTGGAATCTAGTATTGGGAAATTGAAATTGGAATTGAGCAATTCCAACTAATCATGTTTGGAATGCGTTGTTGGTGAATCTACTCCCATTCTCATTTACCCGATACCACCACTGCTGATGGTATTGCAAAAATCAATCTGGGATTGATTTTTGTTAAGCTCAAAACACCCTACCTCTTGTGCGTTGAAGCTTTCCATCATCAATCTCGCCAACGCTGCTACGCACCTGCCTCACCGTGTACGTGTCTGTTCAGATCGTCGTCTTCTTTCACTACCTTGTCTTACATCTCCTTTTTAAGTTCAACAACAATGGCCGTTCTCCCTCCTTGGTGAGGTCAACGGCGGCCTTTTTTCCTCCTTGGTCGAGATCTTGTGAGCTCGATGGCGGTGGAGATAGGAGCAGCGAAAATGAAGTGGAAGTCGACATCTGCATCGCAGATCATCTCCAGATCTGGAAGCCGATGCCCTCATCGCAGGTTTAGATCTGGAAACCGACGCCTTCATCTTAATCCATTTCAATGTTCGTTTGTCTTCAAATATGGTTAGCAAATAGCAATCAAATATGGTTTCCTTGTTCGTCTCTCTTCATTCAGGCAAGAGATAGAGAGAGATGATGATTAGCTTCGTGGAGATGTAGCAAAACTAAATCTGGTTTCCAATTCATTTGGTAAGAGAGAAATGACGATGAAGGTGAGGGACAATAGTGTCTTTTTGGCTTATTTTTTGGGTTAGATTAGAGTTTTACTTTTCTTTTTAATTCCATAGCATACCAAACATCTTTTATAAAATTTATTTTCACTCTTAATTTTACATTCCCAATCTTTAAAATTTAAGCTACATTACACACAATTTCTTTAAATTTAAATCATATACAAATAATTTTTTTAACATTTAAAATTTAATAATAAATTTTTTTAAATTTTTAAGTTTATACAAATAACTTTTAATTATTAATTATATACTCCTTAGATTTATTTTTATATGCATTTAAACTCTCAAATTTTAATTTATATATAAATAACTTTTTTAAAATTTAAGTTATATGTAAATAATTAATACATAAAATTAATCATATAAAATTATTTACATAAATATAAGAATTGATGAAAATTTATTATAAAATTTCAAAAATTAAAAAAATTATATTTATATCATTCAAGTTTAAAAGAATAATGTATAATTTAATTTATTTCGTGCCTTGTACCAAACGGGCCATGAGCTGGCCCAAACAATGTTTATTTTACTAGCATTGACTTAACAATGTTAAATTGTGTGATACTTTGAAAGAAGCATGCTTGTGATTGTGAACTATAAATCATATCAAGTCCATGTTAATAAAATAAACACCATTTGAGCTGGTTCATGATTCTTATGCTTAGTTTTTAAAACAAAAGGACTAGCACATTATAGATTGATTAAAATAGAAGGATAACGAATGTATAAAAATAAATTACAAGAATTAAAAACAAAACATACTTAAATTATAGGAACCTTAGAGTTTTATTTTGTCAACAACATATCTAAGCAAAATTCTTTTTCAACGATTAAAAAATTAATAAGGGAAGTATATTCAATTTATTTTATCTCTATTTAAAAATTTACAAAAGAAACAGAAATAGTCTCCCACACGCATTCTTCCACTTGAACTGTCTGACGTCATAAATAAGACGCCAATTATTCGAAGTTATCCTGCTTGAGAGGGTATTGGACGGAAAAAATGCACCTTATGCACCCGATCCCCAGCCCCCCTTTCTATATATCCGCAGAGGCGCATACAAATAAATGAGAATAAGCCAGACATTGCAATGGATCACCTTACACTTCTGCTTTTCATATCCTTCATCTTTTTTATCCTTTTCTTCATCTTTCAAACCAGAAGCTCCCAGTCTGCAGCTAAGAATCCACCCGGCCCACGTCCTCTTCCTATCATTGGAAACATCTTAGAACTTGGCACTCTACCTCATCAATCACTCACTAATCTCTCAAGAACTTACGGACCTGTTATGACTCTCAAGTTAGGAAGAACAACCACCGTAGTTATTTCTTCTCCACAAGCGGCCAAAGAAGTTCTGCAGAAAAAAGACCATGCTTTCTCTTTCAGAACAATCCCAGATACCATTAGGGCACACGACCATGATCAAATTTCAGTTGTATGGATGCCTCCATCTTCTCAATGGAGAGTCCTCAAGAGAATTTGTGTCACTGAAGTGTTCTCTGCTCATCGATTGGACTCTACACAGACTCGTCGTCAGAGAAAGCTGCAAGATCTGCTAAACTATGTGGATGAATTCTGCAGAAATGGAGAAGCTTTGGATATTAGCGATGCTGTTTTTACCACAGTGTTGAATTCTATATCGAACACTTTTTTCTCAATGGATTTGGCTCGTTATACTTCTGATAAGTCTCAAGAGTTTAAGGATATTATATGGGGTATCATGGAGGAAGCTGGAAGGCCTAATGTTGTGGACTTTTTCCCAGTTCTTCGAGTGCTTGATCCACAACGTGCACGTTCAAGGATGATGAGTCACTTTGGCAAGTTATTTGCGTTTTTTGATGGTCTCATAGAAGAGAGGTTGCGATTTGTAGGTCTAGAAATGGAATTCAAGAGATTCAATGATGTGTTAGATTCTTTGATGCAGCTCATGATGAATGAGAACCCACAAGTTAGCCGACCTCAAGTGTTGCACTTGTTTTTGGTGAGTGTTCTAATGGCTTTTCTCAGTAAATTATTTTTTGTCACGCTACACGGTGTTGGAGAGTTTTGAATAAATATAAATTTTTTCCCCTGATATTGTTGTTAAAAAATATTTATATTTTTTGCAACTCTTGTTATATACTTAGATATAGATTTTGACTCATTTTATATCCTAACCACGCCTAAAGTATAACTGTCTAGTACTAATTGATCTAAGTACATTTTGTTTTAAGCACAGTTAAAGCACGTGTAGCTTAGATATGGTTTAAGTCAAAGTTTAATTATTTAGACTTATTATTTTTTTAATGAAAAGAAAATGTTTGAAATAACATAAGATTTACATAAAAACACACTTAGCGTGTATGGCTTTTTTCTGCATAAAATATTGAACGAAGGATATCTGAAAAGGGATTAATATAAATTATTGCGAGACAGATAGAAAAACTACCAGCTGTAATTATTGGAAAATTAAAAAATTAAAAGATTTTCGTAATATTAAAATTGATAAATTAAACCCCTTCACAATTGTGCTTTAATTTGGTATTAGACAGCAGGTGGAGCCATTGGAATTTTTTGCCTAGCTTTTGCCCGATGCATATTTTAAACGATAGAGAGATGTTTGCTAAAGCTTGTAATTGAATGAGATTATATTGTGTTGATTGAGCTATTATTTGATCAAATTTTCGTGATCAAACGATATGTACATATTTAAATCTAAATGATAATTGATATCTTATGTCAGTCTGTCAGCTTTATTTGTTAGCACTTTGGCAAATTAACGATAAATTGTATTATAGGATTTATTTGTTGCTGGAATAGACACAACGTCAAGCACAATAGAATGGGCAATGGCAGAGCTACTACGCAACCCAGAAAAAATGAAAATAGCTAAAGATGAACTTAGACAGATCCTTAGAGAAGATGAACAACTTGAAGAATTTCATATCTCAAGACTTCCGTTTTTGAGAGCAATTGTGAAAGAAACTATGCGTTTGCATCCATCACTGCCACTTTTGGTACCCCATAAAACAGAAGATGAAGCAGAGTTATGTGGCTGCTTTGTGGTTCCCAAAAATGCACAGGTCTTGATCAATGCATGGGCTATAGGAAGAGATCCAAATGTTTATGATGACCCAAACCAATTCAAGCCTGAAAGGTTTATGGACAATGAAATTGATTTTAAAGGGCATGATTTTGAGCTCATTCCTTTTGGAGCTGGTAGAAGAATTTGCCCTGGATTGCCTTTGGCTAATAGGACTGTACACATTGTACTGGCTTCTCTATTGTATCATTATGATTGGAAGAATCCTAATGGGTTTAAGGCCGAAGACATGGATATGAGTGAGATGTATGGAATTAGTTTACACAAGGCCATTCCTCTTAAGGCCATTCCCATCAAAGCTTAGATCTCATTTCGTGTTTCACCCTTTGTTTGGATGAAAAGAAAATATAGGAAGGACAAAAACTAGGAAAGAAAATTTTGAAAAATATTAAAGAAATGTACTATTTTTGAAAATTTCTTTTCCTAGTTTTCTCTCCCCCCTTATTTTCTTTCCACTTTTCTTTTCATCCAAACCTAGCCTTAGTGATGGTCAGAGGGAGTGGTAATGTTTCTTTACAATAATGTCTAGCATTATTTCTATAGAGTTACATGGTAGTGAATGTGGGCATATATGTCAGGATCCTTAATTCCTGTTATGAAAATTGCAATTGTGTCTGTGTTGGGTTGTGATATTTTGCCACCATTATTTTAAGATTTTTAATTAATTATACCAAATGTTAGGAAAATTAAATATCGGCCAAGTTCTTGAATTAAACAAGTCATTAATTGGTTCATGGTTAATCAATAAAGACATAGAAAAACTAATCATAATTAAATCAAGTGATAATAAGGTGGATTTTTACTCCTAATTTTTTTTTTAGGTGCATTGATCATTGTAAAGTTAAATTTCACACACTGTCATCTCTCAAGTATTAAGAAGGGTGCAATGTTGCCTGATGCGCCTGGAAATTAGCAACCACAAGTGCATGGGTTAAGAGTAATATATTTGCCTAGTTAAGGTCATCCCACAAGGAGTTATCACAAAGAATTTCTAAGCAAATAATAAACCATATTCATTCTAGTTGAGTGAGTAAAATTTTGAAGTAGAAACATCAAATTCAAAATAAAATTTAATTTGTAAACTAACAATTAAGAACTCAAACAACAAAAGAACTTAAGAAAACAAGTTGAAGAGCATCCCAGAGTTTTAATCCCCTAGTTGCTTCATTACCCTCTTTTTACCACTTTAATTGTCTTAAAAACTCAGTTTTATGATAATCCGGCAATCAAAATATCTGTTTAGTAATGATCCTAATTAACCCTGTTAAAGTAATTTATCACCTTTATATATGTTGAATGCACTTTGTTCTAATGTTAAAAAAACTCGAGAAAAAGATGTTTGTCATTTTGCAGAATATAAAATCAGATTAACAACAAAACCTTAAAGAGAGCAAAGGATCAAGAGAATAAGAGAAGACTAAGATCATATAGGTTTATTCTTTATGTTTTCTCTTAGTTCAATGTTAACAAGCATTTATGATAGCTTGCGTTTGTATATACATGGAAGAATGCCAATTGAAACAAGTCATAGGCTCATATATCATGACTTCAATTTAGAAAATGTCTTAGAAAACATTTCACTATGCTTCTTGTCCATTCTCACAAAAGCTAGCTAGTTCAAGCGTGATATAGTTAAAATGCCTTAGAATGCATTTGTCCTTGTTAAACCCATTCTTGTGACATCTCAAAAATTAACCCCTAATTAACTAGTAGTTTAATTCAATTTTATTGTAATTGAATATCACATTTTATATTTTTTATTGGTATTAGTTGAGATGCCATTACTTTATTACATAACAAAAAGAATTCCTAACCAAAAAAAAAATAACCTCATATTCACAACTTCAATTACTAATGGTTCAGATTCAATATTTTTATTTTATATTTATTAAAATAAAAAATTATAAAAATTTGAATAAATCATTTATTCAATTTGGATAGTTCAGACTTAATACATATGGTCTAAATTTAATATTAAAAAAATTTTAATATTAAATTTGCATCGTCTATAATATACCCGGATAGTCAATTTATTAAAAATTTTGAATTTTTAATATTAAATTTGAATTATATATATTAAATCTAAATTATTCAGAGATGAACAAATTTATCAATTTTTTTATAACTTACATAATTTTTATTTTAATAAATATAAAATAAAAATAAAAATATTGAATCTGAATGATTTAAATTTTTCTTCCTATAGATGAGACACAGCGAACCCTTTCCAGGAAGGAGAGAAGACAAGTCCCCTAATCCAAACCTGTTATAACTTAGGGATAACCCTCAAGACATTTTAAAATTGACCATAACCTGAAATCCTAGAAAATCAGCTAGAAAGTGAATCAGTTCTTGCTGGAGAATTTGTCAAATTCGACCAAAACTGGTTTTTCTTTTCTTTTTTTCTTTTATAAAAAAAATGCAATAACCCAAAACTATGCTATTTTGTGCTCTCTCCCTCTCATTTGTTGAAACTATGCAATAATTGAAAACTTTATTTAAAAATTCAACAAGTTTAGAATTTTTTATTTTAAAAATAAGATATTTTAGCATTTATAACTCTTTTTATAAGTAGACTTTTTCGTCATTTAATATGGGCAAACGAGTAAAAATGAACTAAAAAATAATTGATATGTTCTATAAATAGAACCACAACAGATACTTTTTTTATCTTATAAATAGGATCAAGGGAGTATCTTATGCTCTCTCTATTGAAAAATATAAGGTATTTTTAATTAAATCTCACCGTCAATAAATTAGTTAATTGTCTTTGAAAATACCATCTTTTCATATTTAGTCTTATTTTATAGCGTATTTTATTTAAAATAAATATAAAGTGATTTATTTATTGAGGACAATTTTTGAATAAGAAACACAATGATTTCATTTTGAAACACTAAAAATGCTTTGCATTTTTTAATATTCAATTCTTCAAAAAATATATTATATTTTTTAGTTAAGTGGCCCCTTAATTCTCATAGAGGCTTTTGCTTCCTTGATCAAAAACCATCTGTTATAATAGAGATATGGTTTGATGAAAGAAGAATAGTTTAAGCCTTTATTTTGCTTGCAGCTGTGTTTTAGTTAGCGTTCAGACTCTATTAAAGGGGGGAAAAATGTGTATAAAACCCATGAAATGCCGTGCCTCAAAATTTCACGGACAGGTTTTCGTTCAAAAAAAAAAAATTTCACAGACAGGAAAGATGGCGGGAAAAGTAAATATCAATATCCATTATATCTATACTTACGCTTGGGTCTTATTTATAAATCAGAGAGAGAAACCGCCCCCCCCCCCCCCCCCAATTATGTGATAGAAGTTTTATCACAACCTTTTCTTTTATCTCATTGGATATTAGTAGCATAAAATTTGTTATTAAAATATGCATGTTTAATGAGGACAAGGCTTGTAAAATATGAATAAAACATGTTATTAAAAAATTATTAAAAATAATTAATAAAGTTATTTTTTAAAATTTTAATGAAATATACCAGAAGTGATATGTAAGGTGAAAATAACAGGAGGGACAACGAGCGGGCTGCTAGCCTGCTACACTGCTGCTGCTGGCTAGGATTGGGATCATCTCGATTAAAATTTGATGATCCATATTTAATAAAATTTAATTTTTATATAAATTTTATATGTTTAATAATTTAAAATTTTAATGGATATAGAATGTAAAACAAAAATGATCTCTCATTTTTCATCTAAACATCGTCAATTTTAAAACTTTAAATTTAAACTACTAAAATTTGATTTAAATGATTTAGGTCCCAACACCGAAATAATTCATATTATGGTTCTCCTTATTATAATGAGCTCCGAAACCAATAGTTTAACTTTGGCCCTCCATTGTCTACAATGCTGACTTCCTTAATTTCTGCAAAATAGTCACAGTTCCTTGAAGTGAGATATTGATGAGGTATAATTTTCAATAGAGCCCATGCAGGGTGAACCAGGTTTTAAAATACCCGAGAAAATAAAAAAACAAATTATATAGTCAAGTCTTGATATCTCTATTTTTTAGCTTATTCAGGCAGGCCAAGAACCTTAAATTGTTAGAGTTTTTTTTTTTTGGAGCCTGTTTCAATTTTATTTAAAAAATTAATAATTTTTTATGAAACATGAGACTATATCGTAGTTTTTTAACAATTGCTTATCTGAGACTAACCATTGAAAGAGTGAAAATAAATGTATATAAAGTAATTAACTTCTTCTGTTTTTTTTTCTTTAATAATAATGTAAAAACAGTTCAATTATTCGGAATTGCAAATAAAGACTTTTACAGGCTTGCACCCTCTAGATGTGGCCCCACACTTGTCATTTTTGCAGATTCATGAAAAAGTAAAACAAGCAACCCATCTTCATTGTTTAAATTAATTCAACCACATATGCAAGTCTCAGATTAACATAGTATTAATTTTTTTGCTGTTAAACATGTGCTTGTGTTAATCTTCTTTTAAAAAGTGAGGGAAATTACGAGCCTTGTATCTCTTTTCCACTCAAGCCAACCTTAATTTATAGTAGAATCTAAGTGGCTCATGTTTATTGAGTTAATTAAGGTCACTTGACCTTGTGAGCCGACAATCCTACTCGGATACATGTCCAGAATCAATTTTGGGTCAAAAATTATGGTTTTAAAAAATTTTATCCAAATAATTGTAACTTTTTTCAAACTCCATTTACATTTTGAGGCTCCATCTACACAATATTTCTTTTCTCCGATTACCTCAAATATTTGAAAAGTTAAAGATTTCACCTCTTAAATACTAATTCTTAAAGCTTCTTAAGAAGCTTGAATGGTGTCAAAGTGATGACTCTACAAACATTTACAATCATGGGAAGCAGCTCCGGCCAAGGATACTTTCACCTACTATGGACCACAGATTTTTCTTTTTTATAAATACTCAAGGTGTTGATGTCTAATCTATTTCACATAGTATTAGGACTTCTAAACAGATGTAGAACTGTGCACTAGGGCTTCCACAGTGCTAATGTATCATATAGATTTTCAAACAATGTCTTCAGCACAATTATAGGGTGCACTCCCACATTTTTACAATGATTATGCCAAACATTTGCTCAATCCTTTCACACATAGCATAAACTTGTAATTTGCATGTAAATAGTCATTTTCATTACTAATTACACAATGCCGCAAGTACTTATATATGAACATAGGATTTAGCATAAACTTTCAAAAACCACAATTATACAAAACATACTTATCCATTTTACTTCACATAAACTTTCCAAATCATAATCATTCATATTGATAATATACTAATCCAAGTCTATAATACTAGCTTTCGCAATTACACACACAACTATTCAAACATGCTATTATCTAAATATGCAAATAGAGAGTTTACGTAATTCGATTATCTCAACCCTTTTATCACTAAAAAGGTTACCATGGTTAAAACTTAGCTCCACGAGTGTCTACTAGCATATTAATACTTAATCAATATTTAATCTACGAGATTAAACACTAAATTATCAATTCACACTCTAATTAACCCTGTTTTAGCCTAATTTTGGATACCCTCTATATCCAAAACCTTAAATTAATACCACCAACTCTCCCAACACACTTCATTAATCCCATTTAGCACCC